GTAATAACTGACTCATCTCCAGTGTATAAGAACTGGATGAGGGTCTGGAGACTTATGAAGGATGGTTCAACAAACCTGTAATAACTGACTCATCTCCAGTGTATAAGAACTGGATGAGGGTCTGGAAGCTTATGAAGGATGGACCAGTGATCTCAACAACAATGAACCCATCCTCCCGGTTGCTAAACATCTTCTTCAGCACAGGGGACAGGAGGGACAGCAAGAACTTGTGAGACCTGACAATTCCCAGCTCTTGGGAGTTCTCATCTATAATCTTGAATTCAACATCATGAAGGTTGGATGCAGAGTCAAGCAAATCTTGGAAATCAAAATCCTTGATGTTAATCATTTTAGACTTCATACTTGCAGTTTAGGTCTTCAATATATCTGAAATTAAACATTATTAAAAATAATTAATCCGTTAACAATTTTTAGATAACGTTAAATTGAATAGTTAGTCTTAAAGCTACTGCTGTTGCAATTTAAATTGACCTTTATTTAGTGGCTAGAGGGCTAGGGGCCGAGCGCTGCAGCTTGGACCCAAACCAGTGCTAAGCTTTATCTATGGTGCTAATTCCCCCCCCTGGCCAGAAAAAAATGTGAGCTCTCTGAACAACTTCCTGAATATGCCCCTGATATTCCCTTCTTCTTGACCTTTTCTCCCCATTTTCCCTTAATGTTTCCCCTTAACTCCCCTTTCCCTTATTTTTTCCCCTTTCCAGGGGAATACAAGGGGGGTACGCTGGGTGCACATACCCCCCCTGGGGGGCACACTTATAATACTGATATTACATCTCCTTGTTTTTCTCATCCCCAGGCAATCTACAATCTACATTCTACATTGCATTGCATGCTCCAAAACTCAAAGATTAAGAAAATAAATAAATTATATTTGGCCATTTCATCAAAATGAGTAAATTGTAGAGGACAACTTTCTTAATCATGAAATTTCTTGACCAAAGATTTGCTGACAAGAATCCTCAAATTCTTGATTTTAGATGCAGTATCTTTAAAGCCTTTCAATATTTTTTTTATAACAATGTGCAATTTTTTTTTCTTAATTTTTCAAAATCCATTAATCTACAATGCAGTTAAATTTCTTTAAAATCCATTAATCTACAATGCAGTTTAAATTCTTTAAAATCCATTAATCTACAATGCAGTTTAATTTCTTTAAAATCTATTAATCTACAATGCAGTTAAATTTCTTTAAAATCCATTAATCTACAATGCAGTTTAATTTCTTTAAAATCCATTAATATACAATGCAGTTTAATTTCTTTAAAATCCATTAATCTACAATGCAGTTTAATTTCTTTAAAATCCATTAATCTACAATGCAGTTTAATTTCTTTAAAATCCATTAATATACAATGTAGTTTAATTTCTTTAAAATCCATTAATCTACAATGCAGTTTAATTTCTTTAAAATCCATTAATCTACAATGCAGTTTAATTTCTTTAAAATCCATTAATCTACAATGCAGTTTAATTTCTTTAAAATCCATTAATCTACAATGTAGTTTAATTAATATGTAATCAATTGAGAGGATTAAAGGGACTGTAGAATTATACCCTTCATAACTTTGTCTGATCAAGTAGATATCCATGTTTTTTTTTTGAAAACTGAATGCTTAACAAAAGTGACTTGCGCATTTTTTGTTTCAGAAACGATGGAGAACTGAAGGTTTCAAGGGTAGATCGGAAATGCCACTCTATTAATGGAGGGTCACTTGAAATTACGCATTTGTTTTCATTTAAGCATAATTTCATCGGGAATAAAAATATTCTAGAATGTCTTTCCCCATAACTAAAAGAGTTTTTAAACGCTTTGGTCTATATTTCCTGCGGTGTAAATATATATTTGATTTAATTATTTTCACTACAATCTGTATCAATAGATAATTTTAAAGAATCATTTTCATCTCTTTTTTTCACCCCTTGAAGTCTACACCACAGTATTTAGAGGGAGTGTCTGATGAGTCCACATAAGAAAATTACATGAATAATTCATCAAAACTTGATACATATGGAATTGAGTATGAAAAATATTG